CGCATGATGAGCATAAGAGTTGGGCTTGCCTCCCGTACATACATGGAGTCACGGACAGAATCTGCAAGATACTGGAGAAACACCAAGTAAAAACCAATTTCAAACCAACTCGAACCATCCAACAGACTTTGAGATCGGCCAAGGACAAACGGGATCCTTTATCAGCACCAGGAGTCTACAGAGTTCCGTACAGCTCTGGAAGAGCATACATCGGAACCACAAAACGAAGCATAAACACTAGGATCACGGAGCACAAACGAATGCAGATTGGGACAAACGGAAAAATCAGCAGTAGCGGAGCACGCACTGCTAGACGGCCACCAAATACGCTACGACGAAGTTGACATTCTGCACCAATCTGAAAGATACTACCCGAGACTCACCAGGGAGGCCATCGAAATATTTAAACACCAAAACAATTTTAACAGAAAAGAAGAAATTACGGCACTCAATCCAGATTGGAAGCGCGTTTTGCGCCAAACAGCATGTGCGCCGAAACGTTGGAACCCCCACCCATCCCCCACGCATGAGCACACACGGCTGGGCTGCATAAATTCGACGGGGAATCCAGCAGTTGAATCAGTCTTAGTAGGAAAGCACGGGAGATCACTTCGCCCACTGCCTCATCGCCTTTGAAAATGTCCACCGCAGTTGTGGACGAAACGTCAGGAAGAAATTCCGATAGACCACGGCTCCAAAGCCCGGAAAACATTCCTAAATGAAGAGATAACATTTTTGTTCTTTTATTAAACAATCAGTAACCTTAATATAATTTTTGATTCGGTTACCTTTCAAAGTATAATAAGCATTGTTGATCGGGTTCTAGTTTACTTCCACTTTTTGTCCGGTCGAACTGCACAAAAATCAAAGTTTTGTGCTGCTGTCAGTTACTTTATCTGACTAAAGTTCTGCAACAGATTAGTTTAAATATAGTATGTTAAAAAAGAGGAGTGATATTTCTTATAGTTGAAACCACTTTGTAAGGCCTGTGTATTGCTTCTTTCTGCACTAATGTTTCTATGAGCATTAGTGCACATAGCTTAGCTGAAAAAATTGACTCTATCCAGATAATAAACTTATTTTAGCAAAAGTTGGAACATAAGGACCTGCCATTCATTACTAGCTTATAGCATATTAAATCATGTATTTCTCATTCTCTGAGTGCACTCCGATGTAATTTATTATTGACACTAATTTATAGAACCAGTTTAATGCAATCACTTAAATGATTGTATTAATATTTCGACAACCATCAATAATTACATCCCATAAGCAATTAATCCAGGAAGGATTAAAAATTATATACATTTTTGGTTACGTATTGGAACAATAACAGATGTGTAATAATCTGTCTGAATGCCAAATTCTGATAGCTTTATGTTTGCAGAAGGTTGTAATACATTGATGGAACGTGAATTTTGACCGCCAATGCGCAACACGATAAAACGGAATATTTAAATAAAATCTCTGACTGACTGATTTTATAATAAACCAAATTTTTCTTTTGCAATACCAGCGCTTTTAAGAACTACTTTTGTACGTGGAGTTGTATTTTATCGTACATGAAACTGTTAGTTAAATTGTTCGGCATAAAATTGTATGAAACACTGTCATTGTAGTGGTAGGGAGGAAAACAAATAAACCTCATAGCCAATACATATTTTGATATGCCCCTGACTCTAAGGAAGGTTATTACTGCAGGTAATGCTAATAATAGAGCAGGAATTGTTTGCTAGATCTGGTCTTGCGATCAGAATTTGTTTCGGATAGAATGGTCGAGCACTTTAATGTTTTTACGAC